CCCAGCCAGTGATGCCCTTGTCCAAAAAGTGAATAAAAATAACGTGGATGGCTGGGCTGAGTCCTCCTTGTCCATAGCAGCTTTGACAGGTTTTTGTCAGTACAGATTGTGCACACAAGTCACCATCCGGCAGTACTGGCTAAACAACCAGTTGCTTTCATGAACTGAAGTGGTTCAAGTGTTTAGATGTACAGATGGTGTGTGATCATCGGAAAATAATTCTTCATGTGTGTGCCAGATCTTCAGGGAGCAGTCATGGTGCCTACATACAACACTGTCAGGTGCCATGCCTGTTCACTCCACAAAAGCAGCTTAATGCCTGGTGACTATGGATACCCTCTCTTTACCTGGCTGATGATCCCCATGAGAAAACCTCACAATGAAAGATGCAGAGGAAAGATATGATGGTAGTCAAGGTGCAAGCAATTTTAGAGCAGACAATTGGGTTAATAAAGATGCCTTGATAGGTCAAGAGACGCTCCTCAGGGTGCTCCAAAGAGAGTCTTGTGCATCCTGATGGTGTGCTGCATTTCACACAATCTCACCATGCCTAGGGGTGAACATCTAAACAAAAATGAAGATGGACTGACATAAGCCTCACATTTGATAACAAGAAGAAGAGATAGCTCTGACTGCATCATCAGCATCAAGATGGTACCAAAGACAAGAGTGGTATGTCAAAGCTGGAAAGTGCAAGAAAACCTCATCCTCATTCAATTTTGGCATCTTGCCAAGCAATCAAGCTAGCCAAGCATAGGTCTTCCTCAATTGCCACTTGCTTCAAAGATCAATCATGTGTGGACCCCACACAGCCTATCTCTTTGAGCTGACACAATTCTCACCCCTTGAGGCAGTCAAACATTATGCTTCTGACACAATTACTGTGCAATCTTCCCATTCTGATCCTGCCTAACATTATAATATCCTCAAAAACTGAATCGCAGAGATCTGAAAAACACAAGGTATAATTCAACAAATATATAAGACATATGATGTCACACAATCCCCAGTATTCCAGCAATATGTTTATATGTCTTCCTTAAAATGCTAATGAGTGCTGCAGCATGGTGAAACCTCGGCATCTTCAGAAAATTTTAAGTCAGGCTGCAGTTTTCAATGGCCTATGTACTTTTTGAACCATGGCCGGGTGATCCACTGGGTGTTACAGATCAGAATTGACCAAGATAAGTGAGAATGTTTTGTGGGAATTGACACTAAATGGCAAGGGAGTGGAAAATTCCAATTAGCCATCAGTATGCCCTAAGAAGAACACACAAGTTTTTCAATCAGAAGCTCCTCCATCTTCTCAGTACAGGGTGGCACCTCTGTGCATTCCAGTAGGGAGAGTTGCTCCTGGAAAGATGAAAAATTCTGCATTAGAACAGCCCTGCACCCTACTCCTTAGCATGAACAGCCACAGGACAGCAGGAAGAAGGACACACACAAAGACTCTGATTTTGTAGATGAAAGAGCTGCCCTATTGTTTCTTTGGTTTTGCAGAAGGCCAAAAGTAACAAGGAGAAACTCCAGGTTTGTGCACACTGGTTGGTTTAAAACAAAAATTAGCATGAAAGTTTACTTCCATGTGCTGAAATCTAATGAAATTCTCCAGATAAATGCTCCATTTCTACTTGCTTCAACTAATCCAGACTACAATGGTATATCACAATTCTCACAGTTTACTACATCCTATATGCACTACAAGTGTAGAAACAAGGAACTTGTAACTGTCCTCATTGTATTGCATGATAATTAGGGCACTTGAGAATGTGCAAACAAATTACTGGAAGGGACAAAAGGTGCAAAAGACATAGAAGAAGTGATTTGTATAAAGGATAAGTAATTCTACCTGATTCTTCTGCCACAACCGTTTAGTTGTTCAGAAATTGGCTAAAGCCAATTTGCACTTTCTAACGTCCCCTACTTTTGTTTAATCGAATGGATCTTCCAGTTTCAGACTGGTTTAGATGCTGGTGGTAGATTTATGGTATTCCTCATGCCACCAAAGTACCTGCCTCAATTAGGCGAATGTAGGAAATTGCCCTGACTCCTGCTGCGCAGTTTGGCTAATAAAGTTAGCTAAAGAAAAAAAATAAGGAAAATCCCAAATTAAAACGTGTGATTCAAACCTTTAAATTTTAATCCTCCTTAGCAATACTGGCTAGCATTTGTAATGCCCAGTACTTCTAAGACATCTGTAACAGAAAACACAATGTATAATGTGTTACTCTCATTAACGTAACCTGCATTTATATTGTAATACTTATCATTTGGCAAGTAGTGCAGAGACTTAGGCTTGTACCCTGGGAACATGGATTCAAATCCCACCATGGAACCAGAGGAATTTAAAGTCAATCAATAAAATCTGGAGTTGAAAAGTAATATTTTCCAAAAAAAACTGTCATTGATTGTCGTATAAAGAAGTGTCTTTTTATTTCTCTGTGTTTTGTTTATGGACTGAAATAGGTCAAAGTGTGTTTTCTTTAAAAAAAACAAGAATAGTGGAAAAGATTACTATGCTTTTTAAAAAGCAAGTTACCTGGCACTCAATGAAGGAGTGCTCGTTCAACTGTTGTTTGTACAAGCAGTGGGAGAGAATACTCCCGATGAACTAGAGACAGGGATGTGTATAAAGGGAGTTTCGGTTGTAAACAAATATCTGGTTGGTTTGTGAAGTGCTGACCAGTTGTTGATAACAAAGACGTTATGCCTACCAACAACTATATGATTACCTCCCAGGTAGCTGAATAGATTTTGGGTGTAAATGTTTGGTCAGTAGCCATTGACTTCCAAAAAAGAAGACTCTGTCAAGTTTCTCTGCAATAAAAAATACCTCAAGCCTGAGGAGAGCCAGTTTATTTCCCCTCACTGGAAGCTGTGGCTTCTTTAACTAATGAGTCAGAGACTTTATAAGTGTGGACCAGTCACTGTCACTTTCTGCAAACAAGTGAAAGTACCTGGAGAAGGAAGATCAAGGAGCAACAATTCCTAACATGCCAAAAGGATAATTTCAGTAGGTCCTGTGGATTGCCTCCCCAATATTTTCTTCTGCCCATAACATCTTTTTATATTATGTCTATATGTGTGTACAGGAGGAGTTTTACAAGAGGGGTTAGAGGTTTAAATGATAGACTCATATGCTAATAGTTCATAACTGTCTGTGGTTAGGATCTGTTTATTTGTATTAAAAGTAATTCTTTCTAAATGCAGAAACCTGGCCCATGCTTTCTGTTAACTGAATGGTTTGTTAGGCTATGCCAGAGGATATCTGAGAGTGAGCCACTTGCTGCGGATTTGGAGTCATACCTAGGGCACACCAATTAAAGATGGCAGATTTCCTCCACTAAAGAACATTAGCAAGCCAGATAGTACTTTATAAGTGTTTTGCCTCACTGGGGTAGCAGGCTGCAAATCAAGTCCCGCTAGTCCTCAGGGAACAAGAAGTAAAGATTTTATAAAATAATGCAAAACATTTCAAATGTGCCAGACTTTTAGAACCAAGTTAACAGAAAACACGGGCCAGGTTTCTGTACTTAGGAAGAATTACTTTTAATACAAATAAACAATATTTTCCTCTGCCCATAGCATCTTTTTATGTTATGTCTATACGTGTGTACAGGAGGAGTTTTACAAGAGAGGTTAGAGGTTTAAATGATAGACTCATATGCTAATAGTTCATAACTGTCTGTGGTTAGAATCTGTTTATTTGTATTGTAACAAGCCATCAGTTTAAGAGGGATTAGGAATGGGCATCAAATGGTTCTATTGACAGTGATGCTCACATTCCAGCAAGGAATTAAAAAAAGTAAAAGATTGATATATTTCTTCATTTGCAATGTTTTTCTAAATTCAACCTTTAAGAGAAATATAATTTGGTAAATCAGAAATCTAATGCCAAATAATTTGGGGGCCTAGTTCTCTCTACAGTATTGATTCACTGGTGTATCTATCATCCAATTAATGAATAACTGACATGGTAACGATCACAAAAAAATTATTTCTGTTGGAGGTGATCCTAAGAAAAAGGAGTAATTGAATAATTAATCAAATTGCTATTCCTCAGCTTTTATCATTCAAGGGCTGATCAACCTGCAATACTATCTAGGTTGTTTCTGATATCTGACATTCCAGATAGCTTTTTGCTTGTAGTAGCTCTCTATCTATTGTACCTGAAAGCAAATTCCTAGTGCAGTCTTTATTTTCTGTCATTTATTGCTCCAAAATCAGCCTTACTCCTATCTCGTGAACAGATGTTGCTGATGCTCCTTCTGTCATTTCTATATGCTGCTACTACTGTGTGAGAGTCATGAAACACAGTTAGGAAAACATAGACAAAATGCCACACCATAAAGTAGCTGATTAAAATTGCTTCTGTTTCCCAATAGGAGGTGGATAGTAAACAACATTTCAATTTATCTATCGATGTTTCTAAAAATTGATCAGTTTGTCTGTTTTTGTTTTTACCTGGATTGTGCTATTAGTATTTCCTTTCATCCTATTTTATATGTATCAAATGCTCTGATTCATACACGTGAAAATGTGCTTACCAGCGAGAATTCCCTCTCATAGTCCAGCATCACCACTATTAGTTTAAATATTTTCTAATCAACCTACACACCTCTGGAGAGGGTGGGACTTGAGCCTGGGCCTTCTGGCTCACAGGTGGGGACACTGCTGCTGCACCATAAGAGACCCCCTTCTACTCCCTGCCTCCCTCTCCCAATTTCAATTCATATCAACTTTAACTTTGATAGATGTTCCTCAATAATTTTTTTCAAATGATAACAGATGTGATATCTAATCCTGGTCTAGTTTCATTCCATTTTTTTTTTCCAGAATTTTTTATTGACTGATGTTTCTTAATTTCTACCATCCAGTTAAAGCATAATATTATTATGGTTGAGTTATACATAAGCAAATATTTGATGAAACATTTCCAATCATGTGCATTCTTGCTTGTGGTAAATATACTCCTAATTATTGCATTTTACTTCAATCAGCTCATCACCTCCAAAAGAAGGCTGTCAAGATGAAGATAACCCATATGACTATAGGAAATTGCTACGAAAAACATCCCAAAGGAATCGTCTTATTGAGCAGTGTTAACTTTTAATCTTGTGGCTTTCTTACTTGTGTACTGTTTACATGCATTTCTGGAACTCTCCCATAAGTTCAGTATTGCACATATGTTCATACTGTGCAGTAACAGCAATAGCCACTTGTATTAGTAGGTTACTTGGGTGTAATCAAGGAGTAAAATGTTTTGTGTTGAATCATTATCTGAAACTTTTTTTTGAGCATAATTAATGTTCTTTGTGAAAACATAAAGCCAAATATTAATATTTCCATATGGAGAATCGTGTGAAATCAGTTGACTCATGTTATAGTAATTTAAATACAAAAAAGTTTCAAATGCTCAGGAAATAAACTAAATTGTAAAATTTTAACCCAAAATGTGTCAATCTCATATTGTGCCTTACTAAATTAGAGCCTCTGTTATCTAATATAAAGCACACTATTATGGAACCTGGAGATTAGAATTAAAATCAGAAGAACACCCAGCATGTCAGGTGGAGAGAGAGACGGTATCTCTGTGCAGAACCCACCATCAGAGACAAATGCACTGTTCAGTCAACATGATCAGTTCATCCTGCTAATCTAGTAAATTTCCCTATGTAGCCAGTTAAGAAATTGCCTTTGAAAGCCCCATGAAATTAAGAAAAGAGCTATTCAGAGAGCCCAAGACTTTAGGTGGCCAGCAGCCCGACTGGGCAAGGTGAGAACTGCCACTATAGGCTGTGAGCTGTGATGGTATCTCAAGATGGAGGTGCCTTCTGAGGAAAACCAGTTCATATGTAGCCAGGCTGTTGGACCATCTGTGGGAAGGTTAGAGGAAATGGACAATTAGAAGAGGCTTCACCAGAATGTCAACCCCAATCTCCTTTAATCTCAGTGGGGGCTCATCAGCCATCAGTAAATTCTGACAGTGCTGCAAAATTGCCTGTAGGTCAACGCCTGACTACTGCTGATCAGTTCTCTGTTTCTGTCAGGCAAGTCATTGATGCTGGACACACCTCCCCGTGTACACATTACTCAGACATGGGAATAAATCAGGGAACCAATCGAACATGGAACTGTCTGATTTCTCATCATGGCCTGCCTCTGGACCCATTTTCACAGTTTTCATAAGTTTCTGCTCAACCATTCAGATTGATCACTTTCCTCAGATCTGTTCCAAATTTTCGTCACGTTGAAAGAGGTTTCACTAAGTCATTGCCTTTTCTCAGCTATCTGAATGAGAGTGCAAAATGGAATAAAATGCAACAACCATATTTTAATTACTTTGAGAAGTTCATCAGTGTTTCATTTCCTGGGTTATTTCCTAACACTTTTGAATTTTAACTTCACGAATAGTTTTGACCGGTGATTTTTTTTTTACACATTATTTGAAAAGGAAATTGAAAAAGAAAGGAGACTGGGAGTAGGACAGTAAGTGCATTGGCTGCTCAGTGGACACAGGCTAATGAAATTGAATGAGATCACAATTTGTGGTAATTTTCCTGGCCTTGTCTTGATTGCAGTGGAGAGTGGAAGAAGTGGAGAAGTTGACTGCCACCAGCTTAATGGAGTTACCTTCCCCTCAGCAATAGGCAGGGAGGAGGTGGTATTAACAGACCTAAAGACTCTATCCTGCCATAAAAAAAAGTGCAAGGGCAGGAAAATATTGTCCCCAATGAGTCATCTAGAGAAATTTACCCTGAATGCCCCTCTGATATTTCATTAATCTGTCCATAGTGAATTGCCCTCTGTCAGTGTAGTTTGTCAAGTTTTGAGCTGCCAGCTCTGGGTGCCTGCAACCATTGTCCAGCAGAAAATATGCTCATTGGTGGCTGGTGAGGAGTTGGCCCCAGAAGAACAATTTAGCCGGTCCCACTGCCAGCACTGGAAAGAAGGCCTGAAGTGATCCTATACCCGCAACCCTCAGGGCTCAGAAGTCCCGAGTAAAACAGAGTCCTAAGGTCGATGAGGTTTCTCTACATTTTCCTATTATTTGCCACCTGTAAAACATTTTGTGAATTCCAAGCGACTTCATTTATGGTGTGTGCATGAAGGAATTTCGTGTATTAAAAACATTCAAGTCACGAACTGCCCAGCTAACAATAGCATTTGAACGAGATGGGTACTCATGAAGCCAGCTGTTTGTTTAATTTAAACAGTTGCTTTAGCCTTTTTACACTGGTATATAAAAAAAACACTGGTTCTTCCCAAAATGCATCAATATTGCTTACGGTTGTACATGAAAACACCGAATAAATGTCTTGTGACTGTGCCGGCTCACCCAGCACAAGAAATTCGATTTTTAAAATGTTATACTTGTTTTTAATTTGAGTAGGAATTCTTCGGTGGACCTGAATAGGAAGTAAGTACGAAGTATCATGCCACCGGCCCTTTTCTTTTAAAGGAAACGCCGATCGTAAAAATGGATAAAGTCATGTTTCTATTGTTATCTTTGTCTGATGCACAATGCCAGATCACGAACAGGGAGTTCACATTGAGATTTTCCATACAGGCTGTAATTACAATGACAAAGCATGTCGCCCACTTGCAGCAAGCGCCGTGTGGGAAGCGCTGCCTGTCACTGGAGGCTGGAGTACATGGGGTCTTTGTCTGTAGCTGTCTCTCTCTCTCTCTCTCTCTCTGGCTGTGGCAGCTGTGACTGACGTGAGCTTGCACAGCAGGAGACACAGGCGGGGAGGGAGGGAGTGAAGTCTCGCCACGCTGTGGGGTTGGGGGGTGGGGGTGGAATGCCAGTATTGTCATCCACGACGGACTCGTGACTCCTGCCCGCATCCCATGCTCCGGCGACCACGTCTCTTCATATTGACTGAAAGAGTGACTCATTCAGATCCACAGCCCACCCTTCCCCGGATTACGTCAAAACATTGAGAAGACCCCCCTACCCCCCGCCACAACTCCCACCCCTCCCACCAAAACCTTTCCAGTGAAAGAAAGTTTGTGTTTCAGCTCTGAATATATTTCTGAAGCAGTCTACCATACCGTCCCGCCTTTCTCTGCCTCTGCCCTTTTGCGCGCCAAAGTGACGCAGATGCCCAAAGCGCCAGATTTCGATGCAAAGTAGCTCAGATCGAGATTGATCGGCGCTTTGGGAAAGGCAAAGGAAACCCTGGAGCCTCTTCCCGAGGAATATCTGACGGAGTGTGAGCAAGCCTCAACCAGTGAGCTCCCTTCCTCCTCCTCCCCTTCCCCCCTCCCCCAGTCTTGTTAGCTGGTGTTTGGGAGAAGCAGCACTGTCCCGCGCTGTGTGACAAGGAGAGGTTCAGCATCAGGGTGTCAGGCAGTTTCCTCCTTACAGGAGCTTGTAAGAGAGGGAGAGATTCAGCACTACGTCCCGGACAGCTCCCTCCATGCCGGAGCTAGTGGGCGGGAGCGAGAGATTCAGCACTACATCCCGGACAGCTCCCTCCCGACAGGTGCTGGCGTGAGCCGGAGAGGTTCAGCGCTAGGTCTGGGACATCTCCCTTCCGACAGGTTCTGCACCAGGTTCAGGACTGCTCCCTCCTGCTTGGACGTGGCTCTGAGCTCCGGATGAGAAGCGCTACCACGTCTCCAGCAGCTCCATCCTCTCGAATCAACCCAGCGTGGAAATGGCATCTCTCGGGTTCTTCTCGAACGAGTCGGCACAGCGGACCAGCGCCGGAGACAATTCGACTGCAGGTAAATGAAAGGCAACACGTGTAAGAAGATATTAAAGGAGGCGGGGAGGCAGAGAAGGGAGGGGAGGGGGAATGAGTTCAAGGAATGGAAAACCTCAAAGCACCGATCGGTTTGAAAACTGTTGTCCCCTGGATGACTGGACAAAGTAGACATTCTCATGAGAACTGGATTTCAAAGTAATTAAATGCACGTTGAATTTTATTGAGCAGTTTTCTCTCAAATGGATCTGCTCTATGTTTACAGTTCAGTGACAGCAAACTTAATGGGTTTGGATTGTTTGGCGAATAAAGCTAGCTGTTCACTTTGTTGGTGAAATGACCCAAATGATACGAAAGAAATCAATAGAATCTAAAAGTAATAACCTAGTTCTGCGATAGGAAGTTCATTTTGATTAAAACAGGTTTGTTTTAATTTTGTATACATTTCCTCAAATTGACATACTGGATATTTGTCACCTTCTACTAAAACCTCCAAGGCAAAATTATCTCAGCTTTTACAAAAATGACAAATTTCAGAAGCTTTACTGAATTGTTGACCGATAATGTCTTAAGGAAGCCTGTCTATTGTAATCATACAAGTTCAGGGTAGTGTAGTAGAGGGAAACTGAACAAAATGATCTAATTAGACACTCAGAACTTTAAAAACGTGTGGGAGACATTGCTTTGATTTATTGTTTTTATGTGACTATTTTTTGAAGGGTTTGGCCCATCATATGTGCAAGTCTAACACCCTTAAACAGCATTGATGTCGCCGTCTTATTGAACACTCCATGAACTCCCGCTGTTGTTCACAGACAAGTGTCAATACACGTTCTTTTTTCCCACAGGAATTTCCACAACAATATTTTATCTTGTTTACAAGGTGCTCCATCACATTAGCTTTTCTATGACTGATTCAGACTAAACTGAAGTAACATATTTTCTTTCTCGAAATTGAAGCAAAAGGTTGACTCAAAATTAAAAGTAGAACTTAATGTATTTCTAATACTTTCTGTTTCACAGCCCCAGCTTGGTGTCAGATAGCTCAGAAGTTTACTGGCGGTATTGGAACAAAGCTCTGTGGTAAGCGTTGTTACAGCTCTCATCGGTTTGCAAGAAGTTAGGATCAACTTAACCAACCTCTTGGTTCATTCTAGTGAATGTATGATTTCTACATAAAAACGCGAATGTGGCAGAAATACTGATTCGTTGGAGTTGCGAGGGCTGCCAGTCTAAATGAGTGCTTATAACATACGGCTGAAGTGACCTAATGGACTGAGCTCTCCTGCCCTCTCCACCCACATATTTAACTACTCACTGATTTCAAAGTATCAGGCAGTCTGTCCGTTAGCTTCTTCTGGCTCAAAGCAAAGCTGTCAGTACCAAAAATAAAAGATCAGCCCGTGTTTTTGAGAGTTATTTGTTTAACTTTGCCTTTAGATGTACATAGAGATGAATTTCTCATGTAGCTTCGATGTTGCATTGCCTTTTAAAGACAGAACGGACTCTGAGCACCATGATTACAGCAAATTAGTTGGTTTTACATCACAGATGGTGAATCCAGGGAGCTGCTTCTTCATGAAATGACAAAAGAGGTGATGAAACATAATATACCAAAAACTGGCTTCCAGGCAACAGAATAGACACATCCAAAATCCAAGATATCATTTTCAATGCAAATATTCAAACCGATTGAGTAGTTGTGCAACAGAATTAATTTGATAATACTTGCAGATATCTATCTTTATTCTTGAGAATCATATTTTTAAACTTTCTATTAATTTCCAAAAGTAGTTGCTTGTGAAATGTTACACACCATTCTATTAAGAACTGAACGCAATTCGAAGGAATCATTGTCAAAGTTTAATGTCCAAAACCAAACAAAAAGAAATCAAGAACTTCAAAATGTTTGAGCCCTGTATTTATATTTAGCTTCTTTCGATCATAAAGCAGAGGTGGAAAATTTGCTGTGCTGCAGCAATTATCTAAGGTTATAGAAGGAAATATAGTGCATCACTGCGCTAAATACTACACATAAATTTGTCATCAGCCACCTCATGTTCACAGAATTGCAGAAGTGGTATGGTGCAAAAGGAGGCTATTCAACCCATCATGTATGTGCTAGCTTTTTAATTGAGCATCATTATCCAAGGCCAGCCTCCTGCTTTTTCCCTGTGTCCTTGTATATTATTTCTATCTAAATAGTAGTCCAATGCTTTCTTGAATATTTTGATTTAACGTATCTCAACTATTTCATATGTCATTAGTATAAAAACTCAACTTAAAGGTAATGAATATGACTGCTGTTTCAACCTTAAGGTATCAGACCCAGTTGGTTGTAAGCATATAAAACACATTTATCCTTCCTAAACAATATAGACAAAAAAAATTTAAATCGGGTGATTTTTTGCATTGTCTCAGCCTGCTTCATCATAGAGCCGTAGAGCCATAGAGCTGTACAGTGTGAAAACAGGTCAAACCCATTCATGCTGGCCAGATATCCTAAATTAATCTAGTCCCATTTGCCAGAATTTGCAGAAGGAATAAAAATAATTTCATATTTCTCATTTTACTTTTGCATTTATTTTAGTTTTGCACAGAAAAATAATAGATATCTAAGGAACAGAGGAACATAATGATAGGAGTAAGCCTTTCAGCCCATTGAACCAGCCCCACTATTCAATATAATAATAGTCATAGAGTCACACAGCACAGAAACAGACCTTTCAGTCCAACTCATCCTTGCCAACCAGACATCCAATTTGACTTAGTCCCATTTGCCAAAATTTGGCCCATATCCTTCTAAACCCTTCCTATTTATACACTCATCATGATGCCTTTTAAATGTTGTTTTGTAACTGCCTCCACCACTTCCTCTAGCAGCTCATTCCATACATGCACCACCCTCTGTGTGGTTGATAATGGCTGATCGAATACTTCAATACCTTTCCGTCACTTCATCTCCATCATTCTGTATGCCATTGGTAATGAGAAACCTAACAAACTCTACCTTAAACATACTCAAGGACTGAGCCTCTACAGCATTTTGGGTTTCTTTTTTGGTAAATGATGTCTTAGGTAGTTTCATCTAAGCTAGCAGTCAGTAATATTAAACTAGGTAACCACATCTATGAGATGTTTTGAGTGTAGTCAGTGAAAAGAGATTCTGTACAGTATTGTGATGCCATGATATGTTAATTCCAATCTTCTTCTGCCTAAACTTTAGCCAAATGGCCCTACACTTTGATTAGCCTATCCAGATGCGTCCTGTCACCACTGCTAATGCATCCAGTCACATCTGTAAACAAGTACTTCTCTTCCAGACACTGGTGTATTACCAGTTCTCTAGTCAGATAGATCTTACACAAACAGTGCTCTATGCTCATGGAAACTTGAAGACAACTATTATCCTAGCATGACACACTAACACACAAACACTACTCTACCCAATCATGTCAGTAAATAGCAAAAAAAAAACCCAACAATGCAATTTTAGGTAGTCACTAATCTCTACTGAATGAATACATCAGCACAGTCCTGTTGAACATTTCATTACATTACTACTACCTAATCACCATAAATCACAATGGCACTGCTATCCCACTCAAAAATGCCACAATACCAATATCCAATACAATGAAAGCACTGCACAGTCACTGCTATATCATAATATGTTTGTCTATCATGTTTCTACTATATAGCTGCATTATTACATGATTACTGCTAAATACACATAGAGCAGCATCACTGCACTAAGTACAAAACATAAGTTGAACGTCAGCTGACCACATGTTCACAGAATCACAGAAGTCATACCATGCAGGAAGCTCTTTTACAGATTATGTTTCTACTGGCTCTTTAAATAAACATTATTATCCAATGCCAGGTACCTGCTTTCTCACCACATCCTTGCACATTACTTCTATTAAAATAATTGTCCAATGCCTTCTTGAATGTTTCAACTTAACATGCCTACATCATGTTTCCAGGCAACACATTCCTCACTGGAACTACTCGATGAGTGAAAAAAATATTTTTCTTGCATCAAATTTACTCCTTTTGCAAATCAGTTTAAATCAATGTGCTCTAATTTCTGTTTCAGAATTCTGTATAATGGTTTATGTGGATAAGTTGACAGTAGGATTATGAAGAAAGAAAAATTGCAGAAGTTCTGTTTTCCACTTGTATGAAGTAAAAATATATTAGTTGCATGCAGGAAAAAAGGCAAAAGTCCAAAAATTATATTCAGAATTTTACCAAAACAAACAATCTCTGAAAATATATCTAGTCTTCAGTCATTTACATCCCATAACCACATCTCTAAGAAATGGCACAATTTGCAGGATCTTTGCTTCGACTGCATAAATATAACCAAGATAATTTTGATCATCAGTGGTACTATACTTAGAATGTCATATTCTAAATTCATCTGAGAAATTTGAGAATCTAGGGAAACTTGCATTCAAATAAATTTAGCAGTAGGAAGATGCTTAAATAATAAAGGATTTGAAAGTGAAGTACAGGAAATAAGCTTTCCCTATTGTCAATTTAAAATTGCCACTAAGATAATGAGAGACTTCAAAGGGATTTCCTCTCGTAAAACTGTTTTTGGAGTATGGAATATTTTACTTTAGGATAATCATTGAGACAGGTGCCAATACATCTTTTAAGGAGAAATTAATCAAATATTTGCTGCAGAGGAAGATCCATGGCCACAGTGAAAGAGCAGCGTGATGGAATTAGTTAGAGATTGTTCTCGCGATCACCATGACAGATATAATGGGTTGAATATTTTTCTGCTGTGCTGCAATCTTCTCTGGTTCAAACTCTCCTAATAATCATAAAACAGTAAATCAAAGACTGTGATTTTCAAATGGTTTATAATATAACCTTTATAAAAGAAGCGGTAGGGGGAAATATGCAAGGCAAGTTTTGGTTTGGTTGTAGTGAATTTGATGCCACAATGGACTACAACACTTGTTATTTGTGCTAAATGGATAAATATTTACATCAGAACCTTTGGTCTCTATGAACATTGGTTATGATGTGCAACATTGAGCTTTTAATCCTGTTTAGCACTAGTATCATTTGTAACAATGCCATATTCTGATCTGATCACACACTGTCAATGAATTTCATGCATAATTATATCATTAGCTTAACAAACAATCACAGTTCACTGTGTAGATCATCTAACACTTGGATTTGTTCTGAAATGGGCTTTATTAGGCAATCTTATAAACTTCACACCAAATTCTGTTTCGTTTTATAGATTATAGGAATATCAGTAGTTTATAAATAAAAATACCTTATGAATTGGGATGTTTCCAGGACCAGTTCAAGCTCTGAGCCGAAATAACTGATCTCAACGAGGATGGGACTAATACAATGGATAAGTTAAGGAAGGGAAAGAAATTCAATCTGGTTTCTCTCTCCTGATCACCATCAGTGACTCCCACTTGAAAATCACAGGTTACGTGCAATTAAGAATGTGAATGGAATGCTATTATGAGAGGAATTGAACATAAAAGTCACCTTGTGATGAGTTTTACAGGGCATCAATAAGACTATATCTCTCATGTTGTGTGCAGTTTTGGTCTTCTTATTTAAGAAAGGATCTAAATGCATTGGATGCAGTTCAGAACAGGTATATTAGGTTGAAGTCAATAATCAGTGGATTGTATTAAATGTGCTGTATGACTCTATGACTCTAGATGAAAGGTGCAGACTGGGCTGGTTTCTAATGGTGTGTAGAAGAGTGAGTGTTGAGATATTCTGAATGATCCTGACAAGGTGGATGTGGCAAGGATCTTCCATTTGGTGATTCAGTCCCAAATTAGGGGACACTGTTTAAAAATTAGGGGTTGCCCTTTCAGGACAGAGATGAGGAGATATTTTTTCCCTCAGAAGTTTGTGCAAACTCTGGAACTCTGCCTCAGAAGGCAGTGGAGGTGAAGAATTGAATACAGGGGTCCCCAAATTATAAATGTCCAAATTACAAATGCTCGTACTTATGAACACGACGACAGATAGGGTGTAATTTTAAAGATTCAACATAAGGACATTTCATATACTTACAAATGGCTCCTTTACATTGTCCTGCATTGTGAATACAGTGTGGAGTTGGAGGAACACAGCATCAGGCAGCATCAGAGGAGCAGGAAAGTCGACATTTCGGGTTTACATCCTTCATCAGGACTGGGGAGGGGTAGGGAGCTCGGAAATAAATGGGGGCTGGGGCTGGCGAAAGGTAGGTGGGTTGGTGATAGGTGGATGCAGAAGGTGGTACTGGAGATTGGTCAGTGGGATGGGTGAGGCAGATAGGTGAGAAAGAAGATGGACAGGTTTTATCAGGTCATGGAGGCGGGATGAGAGGGAAGATTGGACATGGGATGAGGCCGGGAGGGGGGTAGGGAGATTTTGAAACTGGTGAATTTTATGTTGAGGCCATTGGGCTGTAAGCTCCCAAGGTGGAATATGAGGTGTTGCTCCTCCAGTTTGTGGATGGTGTCATTGTGACAGTGGAGGAGGCACAGGATGGACAATTCACCCAGGGAGCGGGAGGGAGAGTTAAAATGATTGGCAACTGGAAGGTGGTGTTGATTGTAGTGTACAAGAGTTATAGAGTGCAGATGCTCCACAAATCAGCCACCGAGTCTGTGCTTGGTCTCACCGACATAGAGGAGACCACATCAGGAACAACAGATACAGTAGCGAGATGTTGGAGATGTACAGGTGAATCCTTGTCGGATTTGGAAAGATTGTTTGGAGCCTTGGATGGAGGCGAGAGGGGAGGTGGAGGGGCAGGTGTAGCATCTCCTGTGGTTGCAGGGAAAGGTGCTGGGTGTAGTGGGCTTGGTGGGGAGTATGGAGAGGACGAGGGTGTCGCAGAGTGAGTGGTCACTATGAAAGGCAGATAGAGTTTGGGAGGCAAATATCTCTTTGGTGTTGAGGTCAGATTGTAGGTGATGGAAGTGGCAGAAGATGGTACACTAGATGCAGAGGTTGGTCGGGTGGTATATAAGGACTGGGGGATTCTCTCCTTATTTTTCTTGGCGGGCGAGGTTTGAGGGCAGAAGTGCAGGAAATGCAAGAGATGCTGTTGAGGGTATTATGAATCACTGGAGGGAGGGTACATTGCGGTTCTTGAAGTAGGAGGACATTTCAGATGTCTGGGAGTGGAATGCTTCATCTTGGGAGAGATGCGGTGGAGGCAGAGGAATTAGGAGCAAGGGATCACATTCTTGCAGGAGGGTGGGTGAGAGGAGGTGTAGTCCAGGTAGCTATGGAGTCGGTGGGTTTGAAATAGATGTCGGTGCTGAGACAGTTACCATGTCCTCCATCTCCTCCAAGACTTTCAATTCCCTAGCCCCCAATACCTCATCTTCACCATGAACATCCAGAACCTGTATACTTGTATTTGCCATGCAGATGGCCTAAAAGCCCTCCGCTTCTTCCGCTCCTGCAGGCCCAACCAGATCCCTTCACCGACACCCTCATCCGCTTAACCGAACTCCTCCTTACCCTCAACAACTTCTCCTTTAACTCCGCCCACTTCCTAGAAACTAAAGGGGTGGCTATGGGCACCCGCATGGGTCCAAGCTATGCCTGCCTCTTTGTAGGATACGTGGAACAGTCCCTCTTCCACTGTTACACTAGCAACATCCCACACCTCTTCCTCTGCTACATTGATGACTGTATAGGCGCTGACTCATGCTCCCATGAGGAGCTTGAACAGTTCATCAAATTTACCAATACCTTTCACCCCAACCTTAAATTCACCTGGACCATCTCCGATACCTACCTCCCTTCCCAGACCTCTCTGTCTCCATCTCAGTAACTATCTCAGCATCGACATCTATTTCAAAACCACCAACTCCCATAGCTACCTTGACTACACCTCCTCTCACCCACCTTCCTGCAAGAATGAAGTCCCTTATTCCCAGTTCCTCCGCCTCTGCTGCATCTGCTTCCAAGATGGGGGGTTCCACTCCCGCACATCCCAAATGTCCTCCTACTTCAAGGACCGCAACATCCCCCCTCCATTGATCCATAATGCCCTCAACCACATCTCTTGCATTTCCTACACTTCTGCCCTTAAACACCCTCTCCCCAACAAAAATAAGGACAGTGTCCCCCTGGACCTCACTTACCACTCCTCCAACCTCCACATCCAGCACATCATCCTCTGCCACTTCTGCCACCTGCAATTCAACCCCACCCCCAAAAAGATATTTCCCTCCTGACGCCTATCTGCCTTTCATAGGGACTGCACAGTCCACAAGTCCATCATCAGCTCCACACTCTCCACCAAGCCCACCACACCAAGCACCTTTCCCTGCAACCGCAGGAAGTGCTACACCTGTCCCTACACCTCCCCCTTCATCTCCGTCCAAGGCCCTAAAGAATTTTTCCAAATCCGACAGGGATTCACCCGTACATCCTCCAACCTGGTCTACTGTGTCTATTGCTCCCGATGTGGTCTCCTCTACATCAGTGAGACCAAGCACAGACTCAGGGACAGATTTGTGCAGCATCTGCGCTCTGTAACTCTGTACACTATAATCAACAGCACCTTCCAGTTGCCAACCATTTTAACTTTCTCTCCCACTCCCTCGGTGACATGTCCATCCTGGGCCTCCTCTACTGTCACAATGGTGCCACACCTAAACTGGAAGAACAACACCTCATATTCCATCTCAGGAGCACACAGCCTGATGGCCTCAATATATAATTCACCAGTTCCAAATCTCCCCACCCTCAGCCTCACCCCATGTCCAACACTCCCTCTCATCCCTGCCTCCTTGACTTGTCACAACCCGTTCATCTTCTTTCTCACCTATCTGCCCCACCCTTCCCATTGACCATCCCCATCTGCTACCACCTATCACTACCCTACGTAACTTCCCCCAGCCACAGCCCCCCATTTATTTCCGAGTTCCCTTCCCCCTCCCCCATCCTGATGAAGGGTGTAAATCTGAAATGTCGACTTTTCTGCTCCTCTGATGCTGCCTGACCTGCTGTGTTCCTGCAGATCCACACTGTGTTGACTCTGACTCCAGCACCTGAAGTTCTTGCTATGTCCTTGTCTCATTGGATACATTCTCCCTCTCCTCCACTGACTCTGTTTAAGGTTTGTCATGTGGCATGGCTGAGAGAATGTCCAATAAGACCATAGTCAACCATGTGCCTGTTTAATTGGCAGTCTTCAAATGAGGAGGAGGAGAAAAATGACAAAATCTCCCAACAGTCATGTAAGCTAAATAAATATACTGTGAATAAACATTCGGATCTTCTGTTTTTGTTTTCTCTCCCAGCGTTCTTGTATGGCGATGGGCAGAGGCCCACAGAAAGTGTTGTAAAGGAGGAAACAACATCCCTGGGAACCAATCGGTCCTGTACCTGCAACAAAACTCCGTGCACTTGTCAGAAAGTTCAAATCAACTTTTCCATCTTGCATGCAACAGGTAAACTAATCTCTGAAAATGATGTATTACTTTCAAATTATTTTACCAAATTATTTGGCTTTGTTTTGATTGTACATGAAAGTACACACATAACAGTGATTAATTGTGGTTACAAATTTAGTTTAATATAACTCAAAAACATATGTTTTAAGTTCTGCCAAGTAAGGCCAGAATGAGCTAATATTTATAAGATGATAAGAAATATGAGCAGCTGTATGCCATTCAGTCCATCAAGCTTGCTGCACAATTGTATAAGATATGATTGACCTTACACTGGTCTTAATTTCTTTCTCCTGCCTATCTCCATAACCCTTCACTTCATTATCGATCAAAATCTTGTCCAAATCAGCCTTGAATATGTTCAGTGACCCATCTTTATTGCTGATTGCAGAAGAGAATTACAAAATCTAACCACCTTCTGGAAGAATTTCCTCCTCATCTTAGTCTTAGATGAGAGAACCCTTACTTTCAAGCTGTACACCCTAGTTCTTGACTCCTCTGTGGGAGAAAACACCCTCCCAGCATCTTCCCTATGAAGCTGCTTCAAAATCCTAAATATATAAATAAGATTAGCAAACAATCTTCTAAACTCAAATGATCATAGGTCCAAACTGCTCAATATTTCCTCACAAGAATACACTCTTCATCCCAAGAAGAAGCCAAATAAGTCTTCTATGATCTGCTTCCAGTGCAAGTATATCCCTTATTAGGTATGGATACCCAAAACTGTACACAGTTGTAATAAAACAACTATATTTTATATTCCATCCACTACTGCACCCCACCCCACCCCAAACCACTGCAATATAGGTCAACTTTCCATTTCCATGCCAAAATACTTGCTATTACTTGCAAGTTAACATTTTGTGATTCCTGTACAAAGGCACCCAAGTTCATCTGTACTGCAGTATGGGTAATACTATTGATGTGGTGTACATTGATTTCCAAAAGGCAATCAATATAGCAACACAAGAAGAGTTGTGAGAAAAAGTATACCTCATGGAACAAACAGAACAGTATCAACATGGATACAAACTGGCTGAGAGACAGCAAATAGTGAGTGATGGTTAAGGATACTTTTCAAGGCTGAAGGAAGACATTTAGTAGAGCTCCTCAGGGGTCAGTTTAGGGTCCTTTGCTTCTCCTGATACATGTTAATGACTTAGACCTTGGTACATGGGGGATATTTCCAAGTTTACAACTGATAAAAGAAATTGAGTGAATTGTAAACTTTGAGGAGAACATTGAAAACTCCAAAAGGACATTGTTAAATTGGTGAAGTGGACAGATAGATGCCAGGTGAAATTCAATGTGGAAAAGTGTAAGATGGTACCTTTTAGTAGGTAAATGGAGATGCAGTATAAAATAAAAGGTACTATTCTAAAGGATATACAGGAGCAGAGGGACCCAATATATATCTTCTAAGCAGAATATGTAGAGTGAGGAGTCAACAGTGTTTGCAGTATTCCAGGCATCATTCATTGGAGTGTATAGTACAGTGGCAAGGAGGTTATGCTGAACTAATATGAAATACTAGTTAGATCTCAGCTGAAGTGCTGTGTACAGTTCTGGGCACCACACTTTGGGAAGGATGTGGATGCACTGCAGGGAGTGCAGAAGAAATTTATAATAATGATTTCAGAGGCAAAAATAATTCAGTTATAAAGATAGTTTTGAGAAGTTGGACAAGAGTAGGCTAAGATGAAATCTGATAGAAATGTTCAACATCACGAAAGAGCTGGATAGAGCAGAGTGGGTAAATAAGAACATAAGAAATAGAAGCAGGGGTAGGCCATCTGGCCCATTGAGCCTGCTCCACCATTCAATAAGTTCATGGTCAATCTGTTCATAGACTCAGCTCTACTTGCCCGCCCACTCACCATGACCCTTACTTCCTTTACTGTTCAAAAATCTATCTATCTTTGCCTTTAAAAAATTCAACAAGGTAGCCTCAACTGCTTCACTGGGCAGAGAATTCCACAGATTCAAAACCCTTTGGGTGAAGAAGTTCCTCCTCAACTCAGCACTAAATATGCTTTCCCTTATTTTGAGGCTATACCCCCTAGTTTTGGTTTCATCCACCAGTGGAAACAACTTCCCTACTTCCAACTTATCTATTCCCTTCATAATTTATATGTTCCTATAAGATTCCCCTCATTCTTCTAAATTTCAACGAGTATAGTCCCATTCTACTCAATCTCTCCTCATAATCCAAACCTTTCAATTCCAGATTCAACCTAGTGAATCTCCTCTGCAACCGCTCCAGTGCCAGTATATCCTTTCTCAAGAAAGGAGAACACAACTGTACACAGTACTCCAGGTGTGGCCTCACCAGGACCCTATACAGCTGCAGCATAACCACCCTATTTTTAAACTCCATCTCTCTAGTGATGAAGGACAATGTTCCATTTGTCTTCTTAGTTACCTGCTGCACCTGCAAACCAACTTTTTCTGATTTATACACAAGGACACCCACATCCCTCTGCTCAGCAGCATGCTACAATTTTTCACCATGTGCCCATTCATTAAAGAAGAAGAGGGCACAGATACAAGGTAACTTGCAAAAGAAGAAAATCTTCTTTCAAACAATGAGTGTTTAGGGTCTGGAATGCACTGTGTGATTACATTCAACAGGGTATTAGATAACTAAACAAAAAAACTAAACAATCTGCAGATGCTGGAAATCACAAAGAAAAACGGAAATTGCCATAAAACCTCAACAGGTCTGGCAGCATCTGTGGAGAGAAATCAGAAATTATCACTAATAATCATTATCACATTATCACCAAAGGATTAGTTCAGGGACCTAGGTAATGTTCTGGGTACTCAGGTTTGAATCCCACAGATGGTGGAATTCGAATTCAGTAAAAAATCTGGAATTAAGAGTCTTATGAAACCATTGTTGATTGTTGGAAAAACCCACCTGACTCACTACTGTCCTTTAGGGAAGAAAACTGCCATCTTTACCTAGTCTGGCCTATGTGTGACTCCAGACCCACAGCAATGTGATTGACTCTTAATTGCAATTAGGAATGGATAATAAATGCTGGTCCGACAAGCAATGCCCACATTCTGTAAATATTTAAAAAAAAACCCACTGTCCCTAACCATGGATAATATCTGAACAAGCTTGACTGAAGTGTGATTACTTTCTGGAAGAACATTTCCAGGTGACTATTCCTTTTCCTGATGTATCGCTGTGTTTGAAGTTTGGACTATAGTTCAACAGCTTGGTCCTTCAAACTGCATTACTGATTATGTGATTGCCATGGATAGCCCTTATATCCAGGAGTGCCCACATACTACAGCTGAGGAACGTCATCCTACCCTGCCATCTTTATTGTGTTTAATTTAACTTGTTTTAATTTAAATGTAGAAATATCACTCAACTTTTGTCTCTAATTATACCAAACAGCTTAACTAGCTAAGCCACAAATTTATTGCAATACTTAATATTGCTTCATTACCAGTTTAAATGATTAGTCATGTATAGAATGTAAAATTTTTTGCTCACCTAATTAAACCAGGTTCTGGAGCTGTTTAAAAAAACAATGCTACCTTTCCCTTCTGCATCAAAATGCAAATTAGCACCTTAACTTCACCATACTCAAGCCCCATCTACTCTGTGGTCCTGTGTTCTGGACCGGTACTGTTTGCTGTTTCAGGTTTCAGGCCATACTTGAAAGTTGTTGTTACAACCACAAACTGAACTCACTTTGTTTAGAAATTTTAATGATAGATTGATTTGAATTGATTGTCATAGAAACATAGTAATATAGAAGATAGGAGGAGGCCATTTGGCCCTTCAAGCCCTCTCTGCCATTCTTCGCGATCATGGCTGATTATCCAACTCAATAGCCTAACCCTGCTTTTTCCCCATAACTTTTGACCCCCTTCACCCTCAGTGCTATATCTAGCCGCCTCTTGAATACATTCATACAGTCACCTCTTGAATATGTGTACTCAAGTACAAAAGTACAGGATTGCAGTGAAAAGTGTGTAATGTTGCCACGCAAGGCACCATCTTAGGTACAAGTACCTAGCTACAGAATCTTAAGAACAAAGAGAAAGAGAGAACAAAGTTAAAAAGTTAAACATTGCAGTAATTATAGTACAGTGTAAAACATACAAAGTAAAGTTAAAAGTTATACATTGCAGACCTCTTACTTTTAAGTAGAAAAGAAAGAAATAAAGCTGAAAGTTCAAACATTACAGTCTTAAGCGCATCCTTGAATCTACACAAGATGATAGACATGTTGCAAAGATATTAGAGACTGTCTAGTTTCATATGGCATAAAAACAAACACAGCTGATCTTGTAGCGTCTGTTCAGAGAGAAACAGAGTTAATGTTTCTAATCCAGTATGAATCTTCTTCAGAACTAATGGTTTCATATGATGCACTTTGCTGGTGGCTGAAGAGATCAATCTCTGAGATGTAGGTTCTGTCACAAGTGCTGCATCTGAGATGGTTGTCAAGTATTGTTGATGGTTGTTGTTTTTGGTGTTGGCCCAAATTGTGTGGCTGCATTGGTCATTGTAGTGGTACATGTCAACTTGAGGAAAACATCACTTACTTCTAATTTAACTTGGATCTTCCGAGCATAATAATCAATGTTTAGGGCCTTCATATCAGACTTTCTATCACTTCACAATACTGAATACTTTTGTGATTGTATCTGGCTTCCATCCTGTGAGTGCGTCCAAGCCAGCAACACAGCTAGTGTATGGATACTATGAACATATTTGAAAGATTTATCTTTGACAGTACTTTTGCATTCATGACCTTTCTCTTCCATGAAATACCAAAAAGGCGCAAAAGAGAATGAATATGAGATTGTTTGAGTTTCTTTCTTGGTAGTTGTAAGATTCTAATGCTTTACCAGTACACAAGGTGCTAAAAACATGGAGCCAAATCTCATAAACCAACATTTCAGAGTCAGTTTATTGTTTTTCCACTCATTTCATGAATCAGCCAAAATTGGTAGCTGCATTTTCAGTG